TTCGAGACCCTCCAAGGCGCCGCCTCCGCCCAACAGGATTCGGGCTGGCTGTACTCGGACGGAGGCTGGATCCTATACCTGGTCGACAGTTGTGGCGCGCGCCTGTTCGGCGCCGCCCGGCCCGTCGTCGGCTGGACCATCATCGCGTTAAGCTGCGCCGGCATCATCGCCCTGACGGCCCGCAGCCTGCGGACCATCTTCGCGCCCTGCGCGTGGGCCTGCTGGGCCGTTGGAGCAGCCGCCGGCATCTGCCGCGCGCGCTGCTGCTGCGCCAGGCGAGCGCCAGGCGAAGCAGAGGCGGGCCGCCCCCTGCCGCCGGCCCCCCCGCAGCCCACGACGGTCGTTTGGACAGGGCCCGCCACTGGCCCCAGCACTACGACATCCTTCAACCAGAAGACGATCTGGGCGCAGGTGGCCGGACGCAAACCCAACGACCTCCTTGCGCGCGCGGATGGGCATGTAGCCTGGTTCGGGCTCGTCTTCGACAACCCAGAGCGCATCGGGATGAAGGGGGTCTGGATCCAGCGCAGCGAGGTCAAGGGCTCGAGCGCCAGGCCCCCCGGCAGAAGCTCGAGCAGGGCACGTGGATCCCATTGTGCCGTTGCGGGGGCTGCCAACAGAAGGGCGAGAAAGAGAGATCCACTGCGTGGAGTACGCAGCGCTGGATTCAGTGGCCATCGTCGACATCGGTGCCCACGCCCGGTTCGCCACGTGCCGGTTCTGCGCGCTGGCGGGGCGCATGCTCGCCATCGGGGCTTGCATGTCCATTGCCAGTTTGATGTATCTCCTCCACCTGGCTTGCCGTTGCGGGCGCTGCAGCCGCCGTCGACGCCGCCGCCGCGAATCGGCAGGCGTTGCGGAGCCACGCGTAGCCGGGGGCATGGCAGAGATCCTGGATCAGGAATCGGAGTCCGAGGTAGAGGTGGAGGAGCGCCCTTGCGAGGCCGTCAAGGTCGGCGCCCTCGACAAGGGCTCGATGCGCCCGCTCGCCCCGGAGGGCTGCCGCGACGCAGCTGACGCGACGCCCATGACCTTGCTCTGGGAGGGCGGGCGGGCTTCTGACCTGCCGCCCCCTTTCCGATGGCAAGAACGCGACGGTCTGCCTCTGCGAGCACCACGAGCAAGTGTACAAGGCCACGAGGCCTGGGGACAAGTGCTCGATCGTCACCTGCTTCCACCAGGCTGTGGGGTCGTCGGCCGACCGCCAACACCGAAAGTTGGGATCATTTTCGCCCACTGGGGACAACCACCTTTGTTGGTTGTGGTGCTCAATTCCAAGCCTCCAACCTTCGTGTCCGAGAGGTGTCCAAGACATGTTTTCAGGTGTCCCAAAGGGTTCCCATGCGGGCTCCAATATAAACTAAAGAAGGCTGCAGGATGCCTCCGAGTTGCCGCATGAAGCCTCCACGGCTTTCCAATGGGAACAGCATCCACCAAAACAGGATGACCAAACAGACCGCAGAGAGGGGGAGCGAGCAAGAGGAGGACACAGGAGCGACGCGGAGGCGAGAGACGCATGAACGAGGATGAGCGGAAAACGCAAGGAATAGTAGGGAGGTACTGAGGAGGGGCAGCACTGGTGAGGGGAGCGAGGACGAAGTGTGAGGGAGAGTGCGGTTAGCCGACAGCCGATTATTGTTGTCGACAGCCGATTATTGTTGCCGAGTAGAGCCGTCACGCAGATCCCGACGTCTTGGTCCGAATGTTTTCACAAGGTCGTTTGGCCCTTCCTGGTGGGTCCCGTAGCTGCTCTTGCTTACATGGTTGCAGTTCTTGTTGTGTGAGCCTGGGCGCGCATGTGCCACGAAACATGTGGCCGCGTGCGTGCCCATGCACGGTTTCCTAGCGCCCCGGCGTCCTGAACGCAGGCAGGGCGGAGGCTCTCCGCCGCCTTCGGCCTCCATGGGCCTCCCGCGCCCTTTTCGGAACGAAATGGGGCGGATCCTCCTCCTCCTCGCCCTCTTTCTTCTCCTCCCCGTTTTCTTCTTCGCCCTCCTCTCCCTGTTCCTCCCCCATCCTCCTCTTCCTCGCCATAACTGGCTTCATACTGCTGCCTCACTTCCTCCTCCTCTTCCTCCTCCTCCTCCTCGCCCTCCTCCTGCAGAAAGCACCCCAACCGTTGCCCCTGGCCCCCGAAGCGGCTGCCCCCGAGGACGGGCTCGAGGCCGAGGGAGGCGTCGACAGCGCCATGCTTCCTCCGGGCGCCGAGGACGAGGAGGCCTAGCGGGCCACCCCCAGTGGGACGGGAAGGGAGGAAGCACGAGGAGGGGAAAGGGAGGACGCGAACACGACAATGAGGACCCAACCGCGACAAGGAACGACCCGAACTCGACAAGACAGAGACATTCACGACAACTGTCAGCGACTGTAGGTGGGAGGCGGTCTGCTGTCGCCTTCCACGTTCGCCTCCCACTTTCGCCTCCCGCTTTCGTGTCCTGCGCTCGCCTCCCGCATTCGCTTCCCGCTTTCGCCTCCCCCTTTCGCCTCCCGCTTTCGCCCTCCACTTTCGCCTCCCGCTTTCGCCTCCCGCTTTCGCTTCCCGCTTTCGCCTCCCGCCCCCCGTTTCCGCTTTCCGCTTTCGCCTCCCGCCTCCCAGTTCCGCCCCGTTCGGAGGCTTAACACCAACACCAATGTCGGCGGTATGCCTCCACCGAGGGAATGGTGGTAATATTCTGGCTCCCTAGGCGGCCGAAAGATTACCACCACCACCAAGATCAAGGATCGTCGTTCCCCGGTGGAGGCAAACCCCTGTGTTGGTGTTGGTGCCCATTTCCAGGCTTCCAACTCCCAGTTTCGCCGAGGCGAAAGCGGCGAATGCGGGAGGCGAAAGCGGAAGGCGAAAGCGGGAGGTGAAAACGGGAGGCGAAAGTGGGAGGCGAACGCCAGAGGCGAAAGCGGGAGGCGACGGCGGGAGGCGACAGCGGGAGGCGAAAGCGGGAGGCGAAAGGGGAGGCCAGCAGGCACACGTCGTGCCACGGACCCGCGTCCCGCAGGCGCACGGCTCCTGGAGGGCAGAACGCCAGAAGGGGGTGAAGGCACAGTAGAGAGTGGAAGCTGCGCTAGTGCAGAGGTTTCCTCGAGCAGCTGTGACAAGGGGGGAGGGGGGGGGAGGGAAAGGGGGGAGGGGAGGGGAGGGTGAGGAGGAGGGGTTCGATGTTCGAGGATTTCGATTGTTTTCGTCCGTCCCGAGCTGTTTTCTGGCCTCGGGCTGCTCTCCGGCAGCCGCGCCTGGCCGAGAGCGTTCATGGGGTGCCCGGATCGTCCCGAACGGCCGTTGAAGAGCCGAGTTATGACCCGAGAACCAATAGGGGTGAAACAGGATGAGGGGTGGCGGGGGAGGCGGGCGCCGTGATCTGCCGATCAGACTTCCATCTGGACGGACGTAGCACCCCGCAGTTGCAGATAAGAGTGAGGGGGCGGCGGGGACGTCGGCAGTCTGCTAGACTTTGAAGAAGCCCGCCGCAGGCGCAAAGTTTTCAAGCTATACAACGAGCTCGCCGCAGGCGCCGATTTTTTCTAAAATGATGTAGGGGGTCGCGGGTTGCGTCGCAGGTGGGTCGCGAGTGGGTCGCGAGCCGGGTCGCGGGCCGGGTCGCGGGTGGGTTGCGAGCCGGGTTGCGAGCCGGGTCGTGGGTGGGTCTTGGGTGGGTCGCGGGTGGGTCGCGGGTGGGTCGCGGGTGGGTCGCGGTTGGGTCGCGGGGTGGGTCGCGGGGTGGGTCGCGGGTGGGTCGCGAGGTGGGTCGCGGGTGGGTCGGGGGCTGGTTCGCGGGGGGGACGACGACAACAACAATAAGCATAATCGTCTCCATGGATCCGTTTTTCAGTCACGCACCCAGCGACAATGAATGACCGTTCGGTCCCCACACTCTGACAATTATATATGTACGTATGTCTACCATTCGATCTCTATACCTGTTGATCTCGTTATTAACATGTACACTATATGTTTGCGTGTAGATTTGTGCGTCGCGATCTAATTGCTGGCATGTGTTTAGGGATATGTTGTGTGTATATGTATATCTTATATGCGTGCGCCGACCGAATTATCTGCCAGTTGGCACTGTGTCATGTTATGGCCCTCTATCTAACCTAGATAACGATATACGTGCATCCGTGGCCAGATGTCTACAGATCTACCTATCATTGTCCCCACGACTTGTGGCTCATTGGTACTATTACCTAAAAACCAATGTGTCGAAGACGCTTACGGCGAATCACCGCCGCCCCCTGCCTGTTGGAATCGCCCATGTGGCTGAGCGTTGTGGCAAGAGCTCTGCCAAACTATCGGACCATGTATTCCTGCAGCCGTTGTGGAAACCCTTCGGGGCAAATTTGGGGTAGGATGCAGGTAAGATCAGGAGGAGGAGGAGGAGGAGGAGGAGGAGGAGGGGTCATCTTGGGGGCACTCTTGGGGCCTGGGAGCCCATTGGAGGCATCTTGGAGTCCTCCTTGGGCATCTTGGGGGCCTTTGGAGTGTCACATTTGACCCAGAGTTTCATATTAGTTTGGCGCCACAGCGCCGTGTGGGGGGAAGTTTCGGTGAGTTCGTTTCCAGTTCACGCTGGCACTGGAGACACCGCGATCTCCGCGCCCGGGCGCATGTCCGTGTCGGGGTATCTGGTTTCGCAGATACGTTGGCCGCAGGGGTCGCCCAGCACTCGTGAAGGAAGGTGGCCCACTGCAAGCGCGTTCCCGATGCGGATTTCTTAGCAGTCGTTTCAGGAATCCAGACGAGTGGTTCTTTGGTCCGCAGAAATGTCTAAGTCAGGCCGCCGCTACTAGTAAGCTCCACGCGGACCCCTGCGCGAACTCTCACTGCCTTGACCGCGTTGTCCACGGCGCGCGCGAAGACCAGCACGGTCGATGACCCCAGCCATCTTTTTGACCAGTGTGTCGTTCCGACATCCAGCCATGGTAAAGAGCCATGTATCGCGAGTGCCAGGAAGGGTGCAGGTCCATACCACACGGGACCAGCCGCACCAGTTTTGGAGCCGGTGTTCAGCAATATTCGGCGCCAGCAGGCACGCCGCATGATTTTTGGAGCCCTGTAGTAGAGGCCTAGGCCACGTGGACATTGGCAGCCATGTAAGTCCCAGGTCATGTCCCCGTATCTCTCCCACCCATTCTTCCTCCGCCTCTTTCTCTCCTTTCCCCTCCTCCGTTTCTCATCTTTCTTCCTCTGTGGTTCCTTGCCCTTCTCCTCATCTGCCCGTCTCCCTCTCCTGTCCTTCTCATGAGGAGGAGGTGCAGCAGGATGAGGAGAAGTATGAGGAGGAGAAGGATGGAGCGGGGAGGAGCAGGGGCGGAAGTGGACGATGAGGATGAGGAGGATCCCCCCATAGGGATCTCGACGACCATCTCGGCGAGAAGTGGGCGACGAGGAGGGCGACGAGGATCTCGACGAGGACTGCGCGGCCGTGCGGACTGAACCAGGCTCACAGAGCGGATTGGCTTCCCCTGCCAAAGGAACAAGTTGTTACAATTGCAGGGAGGGCATGTTGGACATGTTTAGTGCGGGTGCCAGGGGGGAATGTGAGGTAGCAGGACAAGGAGATGCAGGAAGGAGCTGCAGCAGCGGCAACAGGAGGAGGGGGAGGAGGAGGAGAAAAGAGAAAGGACGAAGAGGATGACAGCAAGGAGGAGGATGAAGCAAAGGACGAGAAGAAGAATGAGGAGGAGGAGGAGGACAATTGCCACGACAACGAGAAGGACAACGAGGCGAGGAGGACGAAGGCAATGAGTTTCGAGGCCCACCTCGGGATGAGAGAGGTCTAGGAGGACGGAGGTGAGGAGGAGGGCAGGAGCAGGAGGATTGGGGGCTCAAGAGAAGGGTAGATGGAGATGGAGGCGAAGGATGCTGATAGGGAGCAGCATCGATTGGAGGGGGAGAGGAAAAGAGAGAGAGAGAGAGAGGAGGTGGAGGTGGAGGATGAGGAGGATGACGACGATACTCATGACGAGGGGGTTGAGAAGGTGGACAAGGAGAAGGAGGAGTTGGCGGGAAACGGGGAGTGGGAATGGTAGACAATCAAGTAGAAGGAGAGAGGGGTGGGAGAAGGAGAAGGCAGTGGTCTAAATGAAGGCTGCGGGGGCACGATTTGCCCGCTCCATTCGGTCCAAGCCCACCGATTCCGTTACGCACCATCCCCGTGACATTCTGTCGCCGCGTCACGGAAAGATGTCGCTAGGTTTCCCAACCTTCCTTGGTTGGGTATTCGTTTTGAATAGAGGGGTCGCGTCCTCCTGCAGCCCCCCTTGTGGTCGCCTTCCTCGGGGGGCTGCGGGGGCTGCGATCTGCGACACTGTCGCCACTTTCGAGGGGTGGGTCCAGCGGAGTGACGCACCGCGCGGACCTGAGCGAGACATCGCCGTCCCTGGGGGGCTGCGATCTGCGAAACTGTCGCCACTTTCGAGGGCTGCTGGTGGGTCCTGCGGAGTGAGGCACCGCGCGGACCTGAGCCAGACCTCGCCGTCCCTGGGGGGCTGCGACCTGCGACACCGTCGCCACTTTCGAGGGCTGCTGGTGGGTCCTGCGGAGTGAGGCACAGCGGGGATCTGAGCGAGACCTCGCCGTCCCTCGGGGGCTGCGATCTGCGACGCAGTCGCCACTTTCGGGGGCTGCTGGTGGGTCCTGCGGTGTGAGGCACCGCGGGGATCTGAGCGAGACCTCGCCGTCCCTGTGGGGGGGCTGCGATCTGCGACACTGTCGCCACTTTCGATGGCTGCTGATGGGCACTGCGGAGGGACGCACCGCGGGGATCTGAGCGAGACCTCGCCGTCCCTGGGGGGCTACGATCTGCGACATTGTCGCCACTTTCGAGGGCTGCTGGTGGGTCCTGCGGAGTGAGGCGCCGCGGGAATCTGAGCGAGACCTCGCCGTCCCTGGGGGGCTGCGATCTGCGACATGGTCGCCACTTTCGAGGCCTGCTGGTGGGTCCTGCGGAGTGAGGCGCCGCGGGGATCTGATCGAGACCTCGCCGTCCCTGGGGGGCTGCGATCTGCGACATTGTCGCCACTTTCGGGGGCTGCTGGTGGGTCCTGCGGAGTGAGGCGCCGCGGGGATCTGAGCGAGACCTCGCCGTCCCTGGGGGGCTGCGATCTGCGACGCTGTCGCCACTTTCGATGGCTGCTGGTGGGTCCTGCGGTGTGAGGCACCGCGGGGACCTGAGCGAGACCTCGCCGTCCTTGGGGGGGCTGCGTTTGTAAGCACTACGACGCCCTTATATCTTGATCGGGGCCCCGCGAGCCTTCCGATTGCTGCTCGCAAAATCACATGCGTCCATGTTACGTCATTGCCCGCGTTGTAGCAATATTGATGTACTTATGCCCCGCATTGCGCAAGGGTTGGGTACGTCGCCAGGGTGATTGCTTGTTTTGTCACAGTTGTGCATGCATGATTGTACACTTTCACAGCTTCATGGGGGGATGAGGTCGAGGAGGAGGAGGGGGAGGAGGAGGGGAGTCCGGGATGAGGCGCACCGGGGTCAGGAGGATCAGGAGGTTGAGGAGGACTAGGAGGAAGATGAGCAGCGCGCTAAAGAGGATATCGATGTTATTACTCGACGGGCCTTGGCCCAACAGGAAACAAAGAGGAGATGGAGGATGGAGGCAGGGGAGGACCAGGAGGAGGCAGGGGAGGAGCAGCAGAAGGAGCACGAGGAGGAAGAAGAAGCTCGTCTCGAAGCGGTCGCCCACCGTTGCCGCGCGGGAGGAGCAGCTGGCCGAGCTGGAGGCCCTCGAGGACGAGGACGGGGGCGCGGACCATCCGCTCCCCCCTGCGATGTACCGTCTGCCGCTCGTGAACATATAGCGGGGCTGCACAATGGGAGGCCCAACGGCCAGATTCGGCACGTGGGGTCCGCAAACAGTTTCGAAGGGCGCCCAAGACCATGCCAAGACCGCCTAGGATGCTTGCACAGCGGCCCGATTGAGGCCGCCTTGTGGGTACCGTTGGCAGTGGTTGGCTTTACTTGTCTTCCTGCATCCAAATATCATTCGCGCTTTCATTGCAATTACGATTGCAACTACGACAGTTGCGACTAATACGACTGCAACGACTACGACCGATACCACTGAAACTATGAGTACGACTGCGACTTCTATCTCGAGTGTCAATACTAGTGCCACTACTGCTACTGCTGCAACCTTGTCTCGTTTTGCGACATACATAAATATATGTCTACAAACATACATATACATATATCTATATACAACACTGCATTGGCGCTGCGCGCCATGCACCTTGGTCGTTTGGAATTCGCACGCTAGCGGGGCGCGAGCGTGCTGCGTACATGCGCACAAACCTGCGTCTATGAATGCATAGTACATATGTACGTATATATGCACGTTTGTATGGAGATGTACATGTATATGCAAATGTCCAGTGTAACTATATGTGCGCATACACATGCGTATATCAGGCGGTAGGGGCCTGACCAGTTGCTCATATCATCGCGCCACTAAAAGGCGCGAGGGTCTCAGGCAAACGTGGTCAGACTACCATGGGACAATGATCTGATGAGGTCTCAAGCGAAAAACAGAGCTGCGATGATGTCTCAAGCGAAAACGGCGGGACCGATGCGAAGCAAGGCGCTTCTCAGGTCGGAGTTGCGAGCATATCTCTGGCGAAGCGGATTAGACTATTTTCCGTTATCTCCTCTTCCTCCTTCCCTTTTTCCCTTTCCTCCTCCTCCTCCCCCTCCTCCTCCTCCTGTTCCCCTCCCTCTTGACTCTCCCCCCTCTCCGCTTCTTTTTTTTCCCATTATCCCCATCCCTGGCGGCGCGGCGCGGTGCCGCTCGGCCTCTCTGCGAGTCAAGCGGCAAAGGGTGAGAGAACCCCCCCGAATTAGGATTAGGAACGGTTTTTCTCAAGCCGCCAAGGGGGCCCGAAGGTAGTGCAAGAGGCGGTGCAGGATGAAGAGGAGGCAGAGGCTGAAGAGGACAGATTCTGTGGATATATGTGGAATCCGCAGCAGGGACTTGGGAGAGCGAGGAGAGCTGTTTCTGCTAGACCTTTGGCGGGGCGGAACGTGAAACATCACGGGGGATAAGGAGACGGAGGAGGAGGAGGAGGTAGAGGAGGAAGAGAATGAGGAAGAGGAGGAGGAGCTCTTGGGTCCTTCGGTGATTTGAACGAAAAATGACTTCGCTGCGCCATTGGATACGACAGCGACGACGACGAAGAAGGCGACGACAAAGAGAAGGAATAATGAGAGGGGAGACCGCTGCGTTGGGATCTCGTGGCGCGCCTCTCGGGGCCCTCTGGGAGGCAGTCTCTAAGCCTCTTGGGGGTGTTTTGGGGTTCTTGGGATCTGTTTGGGGCCTCTTGGGGGCCTCTCGGGGGCTCCTTGGGGCCTCTCGGGAGCCTCTTGGGGCCTCATGGGGCTCTCTCCGGGTTTCTTGGGGCCTTCTCGCGGCGGAAATTTTAGTTTTTGATTTTTTGGGCGCCCTCTTGGGTCTCGCTTGGGGCCGTCTCGGCGCTCTCTTGGGCCGTCTTGGGCGCCTCTTGGGCGGTTTCGGAGCCCTCTTGGACCGTGTTGAGGCCTTATTGGGGGCCTCTTGGGCAGTGCTGGGGCGATCTAGGGAGCCTCTTGGGCCATTGTGGAGCGTCGGGAAGCGGGAAAAGCGAGAAGGCCAAACACATCGAAAAACACAACGGAACATTAACAATTGTAGCCTCTCGGGGCTCTCTTGGGAGGCCTCTTGGGGGCCTCTAGGGGCGTCTTGGACGCGTCTCGGGCAGTCTCGGGCCCAGATTGGGCGTTTCGGGCCGATATTTGGGTGTCTCGGGGCCCTCTTTGGCCGTCGTGTTTTTTTTTTTCGCGTCGCATTCGCAGGACAGACACGGAGCACTCTGCAGGAGCGCCCCCAAAATTCGGGGAGGCCGAAATTCGTTTGGGGGGGAGGGGGGGGGGCACCGCGTGCCGCTTTTCCGGGGTCCCCGGCCTTGTAAAAGTATAGAAATAATAATACATTCATATACATTCATATATATATATATATGTATATGTATATATATACATGTGTATATATATATATATATATATATGTATGTATATATATATATATATATATATATATTATATATATATATATATATATATATATAATATATCGACCCCCCTGGAATGGCCCAGTCCGCTACCATCCGGGACCACATGTTCGCTTCCCAGAGGCGACCCGGAGAGACCAAGCGGGCCCCCAGACGGGACGAGAGGGCTCCAGAAAGCGCCCAACAGGGTCCAACAGGTTTCCAAGACAGCCCAAGAGCGCTCCAAGGCGCCCAAAATAGTCCCAAGACGGCCCACGAGGCGCCAAAAAAAACCCAGAGCGCTCCAAGAGGACACCCAAGAGGCCCAAAGAGGCACATATCAGGATTGTCCTGGTGTGTTTTCAATGTTTTTTTGCGTTCTCCCGCTATGGGGCTCCGACGCTCCAAGATGGCCGCAGAGGCCCCCGAGACCGCCCCAAGACGGCCCTAGAGGCCCCCAAGAGGGCCCCAAGACGGTCCAAGAGGGCCCCAAAACGGCCCAAGATGCGCCCACGATCGCACAAGATGGCCCCAAGAGGGGCCCAATAGGGGGAATACGAACAGACAATTCGAGCCTTCCGCCCCAAGAACCTCCCTGGAAGCCCCAAGAGGCCCCCAAGGGAACCCACGAGGCCCCCTAGAAGGCCCCACTAGGCCCCCAGGGTACCCAGAAGGAGGACCCCGAACGGCCCCCAGGAGGCCTCCCAAACTGCCTCCAAGAGGCCCGAGGCCTCCCACGATATCTAAACGGACTTCCAAGAGGCCTGTAAACCCACAGCCGAGGCACGGTGGCGGGATGGGCCGAAGACCACTAGACGGTCCAAGACGGACTCCAGACGGTCCAAGAGGCCCCCGAGTTATCCCAGCGGCCTCCAAGAGGTCTCCCAAGAGAACTCGAAGAGGCGGCAAACACACGGTGATGTTCCACGAGTTTGTGAACAGTGTCGGCGCTTCCGTTTGTTCAGCTTCCCGACGCTGCAAGACGCCACAAGAGGCTCCGAGGATCGCCCCAAGATGGCCCAATAGGCTTCAGAGGCGCCCCAAGACGGTCCCAAAACGGCTGACGAGACGTTCAAGACGGCCCGAGAGGGCCCCGGCCCCAACCGTGGCCCAGGATCGAGAACGTGAACAAAGAACCCGAGATCTTCGCCCCAGGAAACCCCCAGGAGGCCTCAAGAGGTCACCAAGAAGACCCAAGTAATCCCAAAAGAGCCCCGGGAGAGGCCCCGAGGGCACTCCAAAAAAGGAATTCCAACATGTCTGTTTGTTCCCAACCATCCTGTGGTGTTGGGTCCTCGTTTTGAAGAGAGCGCCCCGCGTCCTCACTCTCCTCCTCCCCCTCCTCCCTCCCGCCACCACCACCACCATCATCGTCATCATCATCATCAGCATTGTCATCATCATCATCATCATCCTGATTATCACCATCATCATCATCATCATCGTCATCGTGATCGTGATCGTGATCGTGATCGTGATCGTCGTCGTCCTCATCGTCATCACCATCATCATCGTCACAGCATCCTCATCACCATCATCGAAACCATCATCGCCATCAGCTTCGGCACACCCCTCACACATTTCGTGGCCCGCAGGGAGCTCCATCGAAGGCCCCAGTACCGCCGACCGCATGCGTCCCGCACACCCAATTCGGCACACCCCTCACACGTTTCGCGGCCCCATAGTGAGCTCCACCGAGAAACCCAATGCCGCCGGCCGCATGCGTCCCGCACGCCCACTTCGGCACACCCCTTACACGCTTCGTGGCCCCATAGGGAGCTGCACCGAAAGCCCCAGTACCGCCGGCCGGATGCGTCCCGCATACCAAATTCGGCACACCTGTCACACGTTTGGTGGCCCCATAGGGCGCTCCACCGAAGGCCCCAGTGCCGCCGCCCGCATGCGTCCCGCACACCCAATTCGGCACACGCCTCACACGTTTCGCGGTCCCCTAGGGAGCCCCACCGAAGTCCCCAGTGCCGCCGGCCGTATGCGTCCCGCACACCCAATTCGGCCACCGAAGGCCCCAGTGCCGCCGCCCGCACGCGTCCCGCACACCCAGTTCGGCACACCCCTCACACGTTTCGTGGCCCCATAGGGAGCTGCACCGAAGGCCCCAGTGCCGCCGCCCGCACGCGCCCCGCACACCCAGTTCGGGTTTGCGGAAGCAGCTGGAGCAGTTTGCGGCGCGCACGAAGCGGTGCAGGAGGGAAGCCACGGCCCTCACCAGGGAGCTTGGTTTCACCGAGTCTATCCGCGAAGGCTGACCTGAGGAACGGCCCGCCCCAGCCGCGCCCTCTACTGGCTGTCCGACTGTTCGGCGTCGCGTCGCGGACGAGCCGCGCGCGTCGCTGAGACCCCCTCGGGGCGACCAGCGCGCGTCGCGCGAACTCCGCGCTGCGCTCTGCCCGGCGTCTCGCTCGCCCCTCGTCGCCCCGCCCAGCGGCCAGAGCCATGCGCAAGCATTCTCTGCTCCGCACAGCGGACGAACTGCGCGCGTCACTGCGACCCTTTCGTGGCGACCGCGCGCGTCGCGGGGGCTCCGCGTAGCGCGGCGCCCGCAGCCTTGCACTTTGGAGTGCGCGGGCAGAGAGGAAGGAAAAAAGGGGGGGAACGGGCGCGATCCTCGTGTGGGGCGTGCCGAATTGGGCGTCGCGGCGCGCGGGCACTGCCGTCGGGGTTCCCAAGGAAACCCTTTGCGGAAGCTACGCTCAATG